GAAAAATTGATGCTTTTGAACTGTGGTGTTCGAGAAGACTCTTGAGAGTCCTGGGACTGCAAGGAGATCCAACCAGTCCATCCTAAAGGTGATCAGTCCTGGATGTTCATTGGAAGGGCTGATGTTGAAGCTGAAACTCCAATACTTTGGCCACCTGATGCAAGGATCGGACTCATTGGAAAAGATCCTGATGTTGGGAAAGATTGGAGGCAGGAGGAGAAGGGGGTGACAGAGGATGAGATGGTTGGATGGCATCACTGACTCTATGGACATGAGTTTGGGTAAGCTCTAGGAGTTGGTGATGGACAGGGAGGCCTGGCGTGCTGCGGTTCATGGGGTCACAAAGAGTTGGACACGACTGAGCAACTGAACTGAACTGAATATTCCACTGTATATATGTAGCACATCTTTTTTATCCATACCTCTGTTGATAGACATTCAGAAATATTTGCATTTCTCTAATAATAAGTGATATTAGCATCTTTTCATGTATTTGTTGGCCATCTGTATAGTTTCTTTGTAGAAATGTCTATTTAGGTCTTCCACCCATGTATTGACTGTGTGTTTTTTTTTTTCTTTTTTTGATATTGAGCTGCATGAGGTGTTTGTATATTTTCAAAAATAGTATCTTGTTTTTCTTCATTTGCAAATATTTTCTTCAATTCTGAGGGTTATCTTTTTGTTTTGTTTATGGTTTCCTTTGCTGTGCAAAAGCTTATATGTTTAATTAGGTCCCATTTGTTTATTTTGTTTTTATTTTCATTACTTTAGGAAGTAGATTGAAAAAGATCTTGCTCTGATCTATGTCAAAGAGTGTTGTGTCTACAATTTCCTTTAAGAGTTTTATAGTATCTGGCATTTAGATCTTTAACCCACTTTGAGTTTATTTTTAAAATTTTATTTAAAAAAAATTAAAAAATTTTTGTTTATTTATTTGATTGCCTCAGGTTGTAGTTGTGATGCACAGACCCTCTAGTTGAGGCTCATGGGCTTAGTTGCCTCAAAGCATTTGGGATCTTAGTTCCCCGACCAGAGACCAAACCCTTGTCCCCCGTCCTGCAGGGCAGATTCTCATCCACTGGACTACCAGGGAAGTCTCCCTAAATTGGTTTTTCTGTAGGGTGTTAGGGAGTGTTCTAATTTCATTCTTTTACACGTAGTTGCCCAGTTTTCCCAGCACCACTTATTATAGAGATTGTCTTTTCTCCATTGAATATTCTTGCCTCCTTTGTCATCGATTAGGTGGTTATAGATGCATGAATTAATCTCTGGACTTTTTTCCTGTTCCATTGGTCTATATTTCTGCTTTTGTGCCAGTATTGTACTGTTTGGATTACTGTAGCTTTGTCTGAAGTCAGGGAACCAGATTTCTCTAGTTTCATTCTTCTTTCTCAAGATTTCTTTCACTATTTGGGTCTTTTGTGTTTCCATACAAAATGTAGAGTTTTTTGTTCTAATTCTGTGATAAATACCCTTGATAATTTGATAGGGATGGTGCATGATCTAGAGATCGTTTTGGGTACTGCAATTATTTTTTCACAATGTTGATTCTTCCAATCCAAGAACATGGTATATTTCTACATCTTTTTGTGTCATCTTTGGTTTCTTTTATCATCTTATAGTTTTCTGAGTACAAGTCTTTTGCTTCCTTGAAAGTGTGAAAGTGTTAGTCGCTCAGTCGTGTCCAACCCTTTGTGACCCCATGGATTGTAGCCCGTCAGGCTCCTCTGCCCATGGAATTCTCAAGGCAAGAATACTGGAGTGGGTTGCCATCTCCTTCTTTAGGGGACCTTCCCGACCCAGGGATCAAACCTTGGTCTCCTGCATTTCAGGTGGATTCTTTATTGTCTGAGACACCAGGGAAGCCCTCAGATAGATTTATTACAAGGTATTTTATTCCTTTAGATGCAATGATAAATGGGATTTTTCCCTTAATCTCTGTTCCTGATTTTTTGTTGTTTGTGTATAGAAATGTAAGAGATTTCTGTGTTCTAGTTTGGTATCTTGTAACTTTACCAAATTCATTGATGAGCTCCAATAGTTTTCCGTGGTTTTTTTTTCAACTTCCCCAAATGCATGTATCTAGGAAATAAGTTGTGTGTGTTTGTGACTGTCTTATAATAATATATGCATATGTGAGAACAATAAAAATTATTTCATTAAAAACTACTTAAAAGAGAGTTTCATAATTTTTTGGGGGGTGGCTGCATGTAGCATGTGAGATGGGATCTTAGTTCCCTGACCAGGGATTGAACCCATCCCCCCTCCAGTGAAAGCAGGAATTCTTAACCACTAGAATCTGCCAGAGATGGCCCAATATTTTCATAAATTTTAAGACTTTACCTTCTCCTCAAGTCCTGGGTTGGGAAAATAATCTGGTAAAACCTGTGTATTCATGAGGGATCTCTTCCCCTAGGTGACTCATTAACTGCCTCCTCCTATGTTGCTCTGGGAAAATCAATCTTTTTCTCTGAGACCATTCTCTACACAGATTAAAGTCATATTGATCTTCCATGTTCTATTTGGTACCACTTTTTAGTAACCTCTGTATTATTAATCAGTTACCTCTTTTCTACTTTGGGGAAATTTCAATAGCTCCACATGCCAGATGTGATTTTTCTGAAGATGGCAGCTATTTTAGGTCTGCTAGAGATCAGGTGGATGAGAAGAATGGACAGAACAAATTCATTCAGATTGCTATGTTTTGTCAACTAAGATATTTCCTGGTAACTAAATCATCACTAGAGATTTCAAACTGTGATTTAGTTGTGGTGTGGAAGAAAGCATCCAGAAGACAAAGAGTTGAGAACATAGTTGAATCAGTGGTGCCAGGCTTGAAAAATACTTGGCAGGGAAACTACCTTGGTCTTTAAATGGGGACAAAGAAGGTGCCTGGACAAAAATGATATATTTTTTCTGAAACTTGAAATGAGAAGAAAAATTTGTTGTTCTTAGGTTGATTAATCCTACACCTCTTTATCAGTGTTTAATGTAACATCAGATAGCATTGATTCATTGAGAGCCTCCACTCTACTCAAGTTCAAGGATAAGAACTATGATGTGAGAGTCAGGCATGACTTGGAGGCACATAGGATACATATGGGATGTTTATATTTACCTCTTGATTCAGATTAGTTTGGTGATAAACATACATTCCAGAGTTGGTAGCAGAGTTTGCCCTGGTTGCTGAAGACATCTTCTACATAGACCAAGCAAATAAAAGTATACAATTAGGCTGTATTTGCCAAAGAAGCAGGGATTGTATGCTTTTTCCTTCTACGCTGACAATTTAATCAGTTATTATAATAAATGACTGAGGAGAAAAATTTTGAAGTGATCGTTGAGGTTGAATATTCTGATTTTTTGAATCAAACCCCAGTCTTCCTGAAATATTAGAGAAACTTGATATCTGGGTTATTTGTACATCCATTTTTTTTCATTCAATAAAAAACACTTCTTAAGCTTCTGTTATGTTTGCAGCATGGTCTGGGGAGCTGGGAATACAGAGGAAAAGATACCATTTCACCCTCCCATGAGCGCACAGCCTGGTACTGGGAGAAAAACTCAGAAATAGCAAGTTATATTGCATCACTGTGCATTTGGAACAGGAATAGGTGAGTGGTGGAAGGTAAGGAAGGGTGGAATGTTTTTTAGGAAAATATCTCTTTAGGAAAGAAGCAGAAGAATGGGGAAAACTTTAGTTTCAAATTGAGGATCTGCTATCTCCATTCATGAATCTTCTGTCAAATATTTTCTGAGAAGGAAAATTCAGATCCAGTCTTAGTGATATTAGTTTTTCCATCTAAAATCTTTCACTGGGTGTGTGGCTAGGGCTCTTTGGAACATTCAAGATGTAAGCTAATTTTAAATTCCTTTTCTATATTTTTCCATTTAGGCCTGTGAGTCTCTAGTCTTAGAATTTGAGGGAAATTTCTATAGCATTCTTTTTTCTTTCCTCTTTCCATTCTACATAATTCTTTCATCATTCTGTTTTTCTCTATTTCTTACTTCTTTGCTTAATTTTCTTGTTTCCTTTATTTATCATTAAGGCTTTTCTTCCTATCCCTCACCATCTTTCAGTTTCTTCTCCTTGTATGTTTCCTTTATCTTCATCTTCTAAATGATCTTACATTAAACAATTAAATTGAAATTGCAAAGGAATTAATTAAAATTAATTCAACAAACACATACTGATTTTCTAGAACTGACTGTTCTGCCCTCTGAAACTGCCCAAGGAACTGAGTATCACGATAGAGATGAAAATACAGAAAGCCCTACCTTTCAGTGCTTGAAAACAGAGGAAATGAGTCATGCACATGTAACCATACCATAGGGTGAAAGGTGCTATGATAAATACAAAGTGCTATGGGAAATGAGGGGAAGAAGATTTTTTTTCTAGCTAGGAGAATTGGGGAGGTTTCATGAGTGGCATTTAAACTGGGCTGTGAAAAATGAACAACATTTCAAGACACATGAGGCATGTTTTCATTTGAGTAGCATTCCATTGTGTATGTATGTATGCACAATGTTTTGGCCATCATAAACAACACTTCTATAAGCATTGTGGTGCCTGTATCTTTTTGAATTAGTTTTCTACGGATATACACCCAGGAGTGAGGTTGCTGGATCATATGACAACTCTATTTTTAGTTTTCTAAGGAATCTCCATAAGGCTTTCCATAGTGGCTGCACAAACAGTGTAGGAGGGTTCCCTTTTCTCCACACTCCCTCCAGCATTTGTTATTTGTGCAGTCTTTAGTTCTTGATTGTGGGTTCCAGTTCATTTTTGCTCTTCTGCATTTTATATCCATCTTCCTTTCCTCACTGCCTGTCCTGTAGACTTCAAACTACAGCATTAGATGCAAGGACAATAGACTTGTAGAGACTGCTGAATCAGCTTCTGCAGGATCAAGAAGATCAAGTCACTGTCACATCTCTTGGTATATTATCTCCTGGTGGTTCTGCTTCTCCATTGGAACCCTGAGTAATATGGCCAGTAATCCAGATTTCTTATTTTTCCAGGCAAATTTGGAGCCCAAAGTGACTGAGACCATGGGGGGAGGAAATCATTCGGTGGTGTCTGAGATTGTGTTGGTGGGACTCACCAGTTCTTTGGAGATGCAGCTTGTCCTCTTTCTAATTTTCTCTGTGTTCTATGTAACAAGTATTTTAGGAAACCTCCTCATTGTTCTCACAGTGACCTCTGACTCCCATTTACACTCCCCTATGTACTTCCTGCTAGCCAACCTCTCCTTTATTGACATGTGGGTTTCCTCCATTACAGCTCCCAAGATGATCTCTGATCTTTTCAAAGAGAGAAAAGTAATATCTTTCCAAGGATGCATTGCTCAGATGTTCTTCGTTCATGTTATTGGAGGAACCGAGATGGTTCTGCTCATTGCCATGGCATTTGACCGTTATGTCGCTATATGTAGGCCTCTCCACTACCTGATCATCATGAACTTCAAAACTTGTATTTCACTCCTGGTTGCTGCCTGGACCACTGGGGTCATCCACTCACTCATCCAAATTCTATTTGTTGTAAATCTACCATTCTGTGGCCCCAATAAAATGGACAGTTTTTACTGTGATCTCCCTCGATTTATTAGGCTTGCCTGCACAGATACTTACAGACTGGAGCTTGTAGTTACTGCCAATAGTGGTTTCATCTCCCTGGGAACATTTTTCATTCTGATTACCTCCTATATCTTCATCTTGGTCACTGTTTGGCAACGTTCTTCAGGTGACTTGTCCAAGGCCCTCCCTACGCTATCAGCTCACATCGCAGTGGTGGTCTTATTTTTTGGCCCATGTATTTTTGTGTATTCATGGCCATTTCCCACAGTACCAGTGGATAAATTCCTTGCTATTTTTGATGTAGTTATTACTCCATTTCTGAATCCTGCCATCTACAGTTTGAGGAACAAAGAGATGAAAGTGGCAATGAGGAGGATATTCAGTCAGATGTTGAGTTTCAGGAAGCTGCTTTAAGTGATTTTGATATCAAGAAAGATGAACAACCTTACTATTCCCTGCCATGCCACAGACGTGAATCAACAAAACATAGTACCATGGATGCTTTACTTAATAGTTAATTACTAATGTCCAGAATTTTCTTAATGTGATTTCTGCCCATAACCAAGAAAGATGTGGTATTCTTCTTTCTTGTGCAATGTGACAGAATGAAAGAATTAATGCAGGACTATTTCCACATTATCTTGTGTCTCCTTGATAAAAATGAATATGGACTGGTCCCTTTTATTTCTTTTCCCCTCTGGATTCTGAGGAAGATCCTCAATTGTCAGATTGAGTTTTAGGGTTTGTGATACAGAATCTGAAGAACAGTGCTTTGGAAATATGACAAAATTTGATATTATTCAGGGTATTTTTTTTTTCTTTTTTTGAAGTTCTGTAGTGAGACGTGTGTGTAGTAATTAAACTAGTAAGCAAAGCATCCATGGTGTTGTGTTTCAGCTGTAATGTGTGAAAAAACAGATGAAAGGTAAGAAGGGGATTTTAAAGAGCTACTTTTGGCTATTTCTTCCCTTCAATATAATATTGCCTTTCAATAAAATAAGAGTTAAAGTTATTTTTAATTATTTTTGAGTTTAAAAAAAATAAAAATATCAGCCTAAAATCGAATCACTGGGGTATGACTTCATAAGCATTCCAGCTAATGCACACAGTAAGTATGAATTAAGCCTTGTAACTACTACAGTTTTTCCAAAATCTTTGTTCCTGTATTGTCTGGGGATTTGAACAATGGAAACTGGGTAATGAGCAAAGACAATGACCCATTAGTGCTAATCCTTGCCTTAATTATATTGAAGTCACCTATAATTTCTCAGAGTTGTTGTGCTCAGTTGTTTAAGCCGTGTCCAACTCTTTGCAACCCCATGGACTGTAGCTGTCCAGGCATCTTTGTCCATGGGATTTTCCAGGCAAGAATATTGGAGTAGGTTGCCACTTCTTTCTCCAGGGGATCTTCTCGACCCAGGGAACAAACCCAATTGGCAGGCAGATTCTTTACCACTGAGCCATCAGAGGAGGCCTCCTCAGAGTTAGGTAACTCTTCTTTTCAGTGACATGGTTACAAGTGCAGACTCCTGAGCCAGACTGTATGAATTCAAAACTTAGCTTTACTTTTTCAATAATGCATGAATTGCTTAACCTCTTTATCCCTAAATTCTGTTATCTGTAAAATGAATCATCTGGAATTTCCATTTGACTGTTATTGACTTACAAAAATAGCAGTTCCTTATGGCTAAAGGTACTTTCATACCTTTCATACTTATCATAAGGTGATAAGGATTAACTGAATTAATACTTGCAAAGTGCTTAAAGCAATTCTTGGTCTATAGTGTTATATATGTGCCTGTTCAATAAAATAAAATGAAATATTAAAAACCACTTCTCAATTTTGACAAACTTCTTCCATGTTGCTACAGATTATTTCTTTCCTTTCTAATTCTGTTTTCATCAGTCATTGATCAAGAAATTGTTCTTTTCTAAAAGGAGTATTTTAAATTATTGAATTCCTTGGATAAAGAGACCTCAAAATGCCACAATTCAATTTTCATTCTACATTTTTTCTCTTGTATTCAAATTGCATTCTTTTTTAAATTTATTTTTTTTTTAATTGAAGTATAGTGGTGCTAGTGGTAAAGAATCTGCCTGCTAATGCAGGAGATGTGAGAGACACAATTTTGAACCTTGGGTCATGAAAATCCCCTGGAGTAGGAAATGGCACTCCAGTATTGTTGTCTGGAAAATTCCATGGGCAGAGGAGCCTGGTGAGCTAGAAGTACACGGGGCCGCAAAGAGCATACTGCGCCTATAGTGTAATTACAGTGTTGTGTTAACTACTGCCGTAGGGCAAAGTGATTCAGTTATACATGGGTATATATTCTTTTTCAAATTCTTTTCCATTGTAGTTTTCACAGGCATTAAATATAGTTCCCTGTGCTATACAGTAAGACTCTGTTGTTCATCCATTCTATACATACCAGTTTACGTCTACTGATCCCGAACTCCCATACTCACCCTCTCCCACCCACCTCCCCCTTGGCAACCCCCAGTCTATTCTCTATGTCCCTGATTTTGTTTCTGTTTCACAGACAGGTTCATTTTAGACTTCACACATAAGTGATATCATATGGCATTTCTCTTTGTCTTTCTGATTTACTTCATTTAGTGTGGTAATCTCTAGTTGTATACATATTGCTGCAAACGGTATTACTTTGCTATTTTTTTTTTTTTTTTACTGAGTTGTATTCCATTGTATACATGTACCACATTTTTTTTTTATCCAGTCCTCTGTCTATGGACATTTAGGTTGTTTATATGTCTTGGCTATTGTGAATCAGTCAGTTCAGTCATTCAGTTGTGTCCGACTCTTTGTGACCTCATGGACTGCAGCATCCCTGTCCATCACCAACTCCTGGAGCTTGCTCAAACTCATGTCCATCTAGTGCTGTTATGAACATAGAAATGCACGCACCTTTTTGAATTACAGTTTTGTCTGCATATATGCCCAAGAGTGGGATTGCTGGATCATAAGGTAATTTATTTTTAGTTTTCTAAGAAAACTCCATATTATTTTCCACAGTGGCTGCACCAAATTACATTCCCACCAACTGTGTAGGAGGGTTCCCTTTTTTCCACACTCTGTCCAACATTTGTTATATGTAGACTTCTTAATGATGGCCATTCTGAGCAATGTGAGGTAGTACCTTATTGTAGTTTTGACTTGCATTTCTCTAATAATTAGTAATGTTGGGATCTTTTCATGTACCTACTGGACGTTTGTGTTTACTCTTTGGAGAAATGTCTCTTTAGGGTTTCTGCTCATATTTTTGTTTGGGTTCATTTTTTTCTTGTTGTCTAGTTGTATGAGCTGCTTGTATATTTTGGAAATTAAGCACTTGTTGGTTGCATTGTTTGCAATTATTTCCTCCCTTTCTGTAGTTTGTCTTTTCATTTGTTTAAGATTTCCTTTGTTGTGCAGCAGCTTGTAAATTTGACTAGGCGCCTTTGTTTCAGTTCAGTTCTGTTCATTTGCTCAGTTGTGTCCAACTCTTTGCGACCCCATGAACTGTAGCATGCCAGGCTTCCCTGGCCATCACTAACTCCTGAAGCTTGCTCAATGTCCATTGAGTCGGTGATGCCATCCAACCATCTCATTCTCTGTTGTCCCCTTCTCCTCCTGCCTTCGATCTTTCCCAGCATCAGGGTCTTTTTCCAATGAGTCACTTCTTCACATCAGATGGCCAAAGTATTGGAGCTTCAGCTTCAGCATTAGTCCTTCCTATCAGTCCTTCAGGACTGATTTCCTTTAGAATTGACTGGTTTGATCTCCTTGCATTCCAAGGGACTCTAAGAGTCTTCTCCAACACCATAGTTCAAAAGCATCAATACTTTGGTGTTTAGCTTTCTTTATAGTCCAACCCTCACATCCATACATGACCACTGGAGGAACCATAGCTTTGACTAGATGGGTCTTTGTTGGCAAAGTAATGTCTCTGCTTTTTAATATGCTGTCTAGGTTGGTCATAGCTTTTCTTCCACTCTTAGTTTCATGGCTGCAGTCACCATCTGCAGTGATTTTGGAGCCCAAGAAAATTAAGTCTGTCACTGTTTCCCCAACTATTTGTTTATTGGACATTTGTGGTTATTCTTTGGAGAAATGTCTCTTTAGGTCTTCTGTTTATTTTCTTGGTTTGTGTTGTTCATTTTTTTCTTCTTGTCTAGTGATGGAACCTGATGCCATGATCTTAAGTTTTCTGAATGCTGAGTTTTAAGCCAACTTTTTTACTCTCCTCTTTGTTTATTTTCATTTTTATTTCTATTGCCTTGGGAGACTGACCTAAGAAAACACTGGTATGATATATGTCAGAAAATATTTTGCCCATGTTCTCTTCTAGGAGTTTTATGGTAGCATGTCTTATGTTTAAGTTTTTAAGCCATCAATTACATTATTACATGCTCTTCAATAGTTTTATGAAGCTTGTCTTGGTTATCTATGGTTCTTTTTAAGATTTAAAATTCTAAAAAATTTAAAGTTGAAGTGTAGTTGATGTACAACATATGCTACAAAATTATATGTTACATAATACAATGAGTCACAATTTTTAAAAATTTAATTGGAGGATATAATTCACAATTTTTAAAAAAGATTTTTTGATGGTGACCATTTTTAAAGCTTTTACTGAATTTGTTGCAATATTGCTTCTGATTTATGTTTTGTTTTTTTTTTTGCCACAAGGCATGTGGGATCTTAGCTCCCTGACCAGGGATCAAACTTTCACCCCATGCATTTGAAGGTGAAATCTTAACCTCTGGACTACCAGGGAGGTCCTGATTCACAATTTTTTTCCATTTATTTTTATTAGTTGGAGGCTAATTACTTTACAATATTGTAGTGGTTTTTGTCATACATTACATGAATCAGCCATGGTTTTACATGTATTCCTCATCCTGATCCCCCCTCCCACCTCCCTCTCCAAATGATTCCTCTGGGTTTTTTTTATTAGTTGGAGGCCAATTACTTTACAATATTGTAGTGGTTTTTGTCATACATTACAAGAATCAGCCATGGTTTTACATGTATTCCTCATCCTGATCCCCCCTCCCACCTCCCTCTCCTCCCGATCCCTCTGGGTCTTCCCAGTGCACCAGGTCCGAGCACTTGTCTCATGCATCCAACCTGGGCTGGTTGTTACATAATACAATGAGTCACAATTTTTAAAAATTTAATTGAAGGATATAATTCACAATTTTTTAAAAAGATTTTTTGATGGTGACCATTTTTAAAGCTTTTACTGAATTTGTTGCAATATTGCTTCTGATTTATGTTTTGTTTTTTTTTTGCCACAAGGCATGTGGGATCTTAGCTCCCTGACCAGGGATCAAACTTGCACCCCCTGCATTGGAAGGTGAAATCTTAACCTCTGGACTACCAGGGAGGTCCTGATTCACAATTTTTTTTCCATTTATTTTTATTAGTTGGAGGCTAATTACTTTACAATATTGTAGTGGTTTTTGTCATACATTATATGAATCATCCATGGATTTACATGTATTCCCCATCCCGATCCCCTTTCCCACCTCCCTCTCCACCCGATTCCTCTGGGTCTTCCCAGTGCACCAGGCCTGAGCACTTGTCTCATGCATCCAGCCTGGGCTGGTGATTCACAATTTTTAAAGGTTATGTTTCGTTTACAGTTGTTATAAAATATTGGGTATATTCCCTGTGTTGTACAATATATCCTTGCAGCTTATTTTATACATAATAGTTTGTAACTCTTAATCCACTTTTC